ACTTCTTCTTTGAAAAGTTGATTTTGGACAAGTTCTTCCTCTTGTAAATATTCTAAAGGAACTTTTAAATTTTTATTGATTCTTTACAAGGAATAATAAAGGAAAATTTGGTTTTATCTAAATTAGTAATAATTATGCCAAAAACCTTTTTTTTACATCTTTTTAACTATTTATTTTCCTTCATATCAGCATGCATGCTTAGAGGGTCTTCATATTCATCTATAATATCTTAAAGATCCAATAAAACCAACAAAAGCTTTATTTTCATCTTCCAATGATAAAAATTCTCTCTTTAAAACTTTTCAATGATCCTCAAGCTCTCACATTTTTTTGAAGCCATGTCTATGAAAGATACGAATTAAAAAAGATCAAAAGAAAGAATTCTAAAGCTCTCAAAATCAGCAAAAAAGTGGTGCTTCTTCAAAATCCTAGAATGTTCTATTTGTAAAATACAATATATATATATATATATATATATATATATATATATATATTTTTTATTCTCAAAAGATCCTCAATTTTACTTTTAAGCCTTCTCACAAGTCTTAATAATAATATAAACATCTCTTATCAAATTTTCCACTCTTTAGATCACTTATATGTCCAAATGATCAACTTTTGTCACTTCACTATTATATCCATTCATTATTTTGAATACAAAGTTCAAAATGTTTATAAAAATTTAAGAAAATAAATTACCTAATCAAACATATTAAATAAAATTAAAAGAAATATTATTTTATAAATTAAACTATTTAAAATTTGATGAATTTCTTACTATTGGCAAAGATTTTTTATTATGTTTAGAGAATCAATGTAACAAAAAAAATCTTATATTTAATCTTAATTAATTAACCAATGAAATACACAAAATATATATACAAAAAAATTAAAAATTAAAAAAATTAAAAAAATCTAATTTATAACATAATTTTGGATACTTGGAATATTGGATTAAAAAATCATTTTTTATTTTAAAAAAATAGGTGCTATTAACCAATTCAATTAATACATCTGTTAAAGTGACTTTATTACAAATTATTAAATATATATATATATATAGATAGATAGATAATATTTGATTACTAGATATTAGTTTTATTTTGTCTTTTTTATTATATAATAAATAGTTGCTACATTGCCTTCAAAAATAAGTTGACCATTCATTCTCTATTTATTTATCATCCAAAGTACAATCTAATAAAACTCCAATATTATTATCAATACAAATCAAATTCCTACTATACATATTTTTTTATCTATTATGTTAATAAATAAAATATCTAATAAGATTTTTTTTCTTTTGTCCAATGTAATATGAATTTTGTTCAACAACATTGATAATAAATCTATACGGTGATTTTTTTTCTACACTCACATATGATTGCATATTAGTTTGGTTTATAATTACCAACTATTTCTAATTACTACAATATAAAACTTGCTTTCTATTTTATCCAAATATATGCATGATTTTATCTACAATCTATTGTTAAAAATTTTAATATTTTATCTTTTTTTAATTATAATATCTAATTCTAATTTTTTTTTATAAACAAAAAAATAAATTCTAGCTATTTCTACTATTTTATTACACCAACACACAACCTGCAAAATTTTTAATCACTTAGTGTATTTAACTAAAATTATATTCTATTTTAGACCTTAAATAGAAAATGATAATTAATATATTCAACTCTTCTTTACTAAGTAGAAGAAACTTTGTTTTAGTTTTCATTAATTCAATCAAATTAAAGTAAGCAAGGTAATTTGTTATACAAAATAAATTCCATTTTTACAACATCAATAAGATTTATAAATCTTATTGATTATATCATTATAAATTAGCACTAATATTTCATCAAATATTTATAATTTTTATCAATAATATATTTATTAAGAAAAATTGAAATGTTTAGAGAGATTTTAAAATTTTATTATGCAAAATACAATATAGAAAGGAGCTTCAAAAACAAATATATGTATGTTTATATTTATTTATTTATATTTAAATATATCTTCAATATGGAGAAATAAAAAAAGCAAATCAAATGGCACTTGAAAAAATTAAAAACCATTAGTCTTATCACTAAAATTTTAATATTTCAAATCAAAAAGTCTTAAAAAAACTGTTAGATTCCAAACTTTACTTGTTACAATTTTTGGATCAATTGCAACAATGCATATACCCTTTATTGATATTAAACTTGATTATTCAAAAGTTACATTCCAACTTAAAATTTTGACATACTAAACCTAAAAAATAACTTATTGAAACTTGTTTATCAACAAGAAACAAAAATAACTACATAAAAGGCGTAGTTTTTATTTGGGGGGGGGGGGGATGTCTAGTCTACCGAAATCACTGCCTTCACCGCAATCTGTGCCGAGCTAGAAGCTGACTCCATCTCTGTAGACGTTGCTCTTCGGAGCGATGGACTTGCAAGCTGAGTGGAATCTGGACGATGTTGTATTTTCTGACACTTTGGATTCTTCATAATGACTTGACGGCCGCGAATTTGTTTTGTCGTGGGTTTGTATACTAGTTGCAAGCAGCGTCGAAGTCGTCTTTCTGCGATGACACTTTTGCCATTTTGACCAGTGGGGCGCTATAAAGCTGCGACACAAGCTGATCGATCGACCTACTTGGATCGAGATTAGTTTTGCCTCTAGCAGAGAGGCGTAGGTGAGGGTGAAAGAATAGTAGCGTAATTATTTCTTCGAAGTGTAGGAAGTGTTACGGGATACGTCCCGCGTGCAGTGTCTGGCTTTACGAGTATCCCTAGACGAGATGGGTCCGCTGATCCTGCCTCCAGTTTTCCCTGTAAAGAATTTGACCCTCCTCGAAACGAAGTCAAACATTAAAGACGGGAACGAACGATGTGATCTAAGATCCAGCTGTCAATAAATTGCATGGTTTTGGTTCTCTGGTGATGCATTTGAACTCGTCAATACTACAAATTCAACGTGGCGGATTGTCCTGCCAACTGCGCCATTGTGTACAAAGTTTTCACATCTGCCAATTGTCAATCAGACATTATAGAATTGAACGACCTGACTTTGATTACCAAAGTATCCGGATACTGGCGGAGAATGACCACCTTTAATGGGTGCATTTGTGATCAAATGACCCCGACGAACAACACGGAATTAAAATTAGCGACGGTCTTGAGCATTACTTGACTTCCCAGTTCACTGGTCTCCATCAACCGTTCACTGTTCGCTTCTGCCTCTCCTGGCCACACCTTTCGCTACACTCGTGGTTCATGCAATTTGTAGATGCGTGTAGCTTTGTATGCGCGGAAGTGCCAGCTTGCTTGAGCTTGTATCTTTTTGTGAGTTTTTAGTAAATGAGAGTAATAGAATTCTTCACCTAACCAGATTCTATGCAATCTTCTTCACTTAAAGTCCAACTTCTGTCGGATATATTATGCACAAGTATAGGGACCTGCAGGTTCCGGCCAAGTCAGGGCAGTGAAACACATCAGAAGCACGAATCCCGAAAGAACCCAAATGGCAAAAAATTGTAGATTCGTTGTGAGTAGGAACAGAATGTTTATTAGAAATGGTGGCCAATCAAACTGACAAGAAGACGTACAGGATGGAAATTAACATTGAAACTTAGCCCTTTAACCTCAAAAACTTCCTCCTCAAGCCATTGGAAAAAGCTGACTGAAGACCTAAAAATGATGCGGTTTTGCTTGGTCCGCCTTGTGAAGGACCTCAGGTGAACATAGACAGTCAAGAGTAGGAAGTGTGACAACCACTCCATTCAAGCGTTTCACGATGCCTCGTCAAGTGAAATGCTGAACCGCCAAGTTTCGGTCTCACCAGTCATTAGCAGGCACTTAAATCAACTTAGACAGACTTTGGGCAGATTGGAGAGGAAGTCGTAACGGTTGTGAGGAAGCGTCGGAAGTCAATTTCCCGAGGCTTCCTTCGACGTCTGACGGTGCTGCAAGCTTAAGAAACCGGTTACACTCTGTTCGACGTCGATAAAGTCTAGTCAAGTGCACTGTGACCAAGCCCATTGGGTCCAGCAGTATTTCGTCGCAAGTAGAGAGAGACCTCGTTTGACTCTGTTGATGACTTCATGGTTTCATAGTTTCACATCCGAGGGTCGCCTCTCACATGGGGTCTCTCGATTTTCCACGTCTTCAAGCTCAAACTCTGTGGTAGGTTGAAAGATTCTGACCTAAAGAGGGTAACACAGTTCATGATTTCATATAGCTGTATGTGGTTTGGTACTTAGGGCTGAGAGTACTGCGTATCATTATCAAAATTGCATAATTTTCGATGTGTTTTTGTTTGGATTCATTAATAATAACTTATTATTTTCAGGTATTAGATGATATCTACTTAAATTTAATACTTTGGCTGTTGTGTTATAAAATACTCTGTATGACTCTCAAATTCTGAATTTCATAAGTATGATGCTTACATGTGGGGTCCTTGTTCACATGAACTGAGCAATTTGCTGAAGTATTTTTCGCAAGTTTCCAAATATTACTTGTCTTCCAACTTGGTAATGTTGCTGTCAGTGTAAGTCTCATTGGAAGTAAAAATAAGTTTTAGAAATGGGTACAAAAACTGGGTAACAATTTTGCATGTTATCTACCTCACCCAATTTAGTTTAGCATGCACCTCTTGGAGCGACACAAGGTTTACATATGATAGACTTGCAGATTTCCTGATAGCAGCAAAATAGTTTTACAAAAAAATCACTATTGGCTGCAGCCTTGAATACAGTAATTTAATCACATATGAATGTTACATTGAGATCTTAACAAAATTGACCTGGAAGCCAAAATCCGGTGTCAACGGCAATCAGTGATGCCATGACATATTCATTCATTATATTTCAAGTGAATCAAACCAGCTCCCAAATTGATAATGATCACTCGATGCGGTGGTGGTGACCCTCAATGCACTGCTGCTAGTACCAAAAGCGTAAATCCTAAACATCCCGTACACGAGTTCAAAACACAATTGAGAAGTAGTAACACTAAATCTCACATTGATCGTAACATACTTTTATTAGGCATAACACATTTCAAACAAGAGTGGTATAAGAATATGATCTTCCCACGAGTCAAGGTGATGAACTGTACTTTTCGGTGTTAGCTATCTATCCTACAGTTCAAAGAACATAACATTTGTATTGCAGATACTTGCAAGTTACACCATTTATCTTGCATACGGTTGTTCAAAACTAATCCATATATGCAGGAAAAGCTTTCGAAAATACTCCAGTGCCTCCGCGCTCCTATCGAATACAACTTTCCTCTGAAATAAAGCCAAACTAACTTACAGGAAGAAAGTTATCAAACTTCATATGACGCTGAGTGCAACCTCCAGGGAGTACTTTCTGAATATCCGAAGTGCTCACGTCCCTGGGCAACTTTCGAACCCTCCATTAGCAAAGGCCAAACCAGTCGTTTGCTTCATCCCGATGGGCTCTATTAACGTCACACGTTAAAATCTAGCCCCAGAAGATAAGCTTATCCGTGAAGTCCCAAGAACTGGGGATGATGAGTATTCCTAGTTTCGCCAAAATCGGGAAAGGAGTGCAAAACTAGGTGAATTTTTCAAGTGTCTACACACTGGCTAATTCAAGCTGTGCAGTAGACAAATTGCCACAAATTATTGTCTTGTGAAAACTTCCACGCCCAAACAACCTCCATCACTGAATTGTCTTGTGTTGAGGTTCCTACCACTTCTGCGACATACGCGTCCTGATGTTCTCGGGATCACTGTCCGTGAGCCAATAGTACTGTTCTCTCGCACCCAGGTGAAGCTATTCTTTCTGCGCTAGCATCACCGTGCCGTCCATAATGTCCAATTTGTTCCGCATCCATGCTGCAGACAACCCATCAGCAACAGTCAAGAACTTTCGCAATCAATCAACGATGCAGAAAAGCTCTTAAACTCAACCGTAAAATCTACACAGTAAAAGGTGGATGAAATTGCTATACTTACCAGATGTAGACATAAGACTATCATCCCGAAACTGTCTTTTGAACGGCAACCCATACTTGAACTTGCTTCTGTGTCAAAGCAACAAAAACACCTGCTAAGCCACTGGCAGTAATGTGTTCAAAAAATCCAACCTCTTCCATTTCCTGCTAATTGCAAACAACCGACCCCTTCATTTTCATAACCCAAGTCCTATGATTCGACTACTGTATTCCCAAACGAGACTTTCGTGCAACTGCCTTCATATGAAACCAAAATATGCCTCGTAGGCTCTATCTATAACCTTCGGCATTCCACCACAACATTCTGATGTTGTTAAGTCCTGCAGTGCGCTCCAGGCCTCTTTCGCTTCACACACCTAATTAATCTATCAAGTCATCCTTCAACTCCAAGACTACAATCTAAAAAAAATTAAACCAACTGGCCTTCGTACGAACCCAGCCCTTACACCACCATGCGGTATGTGAATTGTTACACGAATTGAAAAAAATCGAGCTTATAGTTGTTCACATCGCCACGTTACGTATCGTGTTTCATACCCCAAGCTCTCTGCTGACATCGTGTATCATTCAGCTGACATCGTCAAGAACCTCTGCAATCTCATCCTTCTACGCCAACCAGCAGACCCCAGTTAGTCCATATGATTCATACAAAATCCAGAAAATGACTTCCAGTGTACCTCGTTGCTTCCCAATGCTGGAGGACCTCGACCTCTCTTCACCAATTTGCTTATCACATCCGCTCCCGGAGCACCACCATCTCCTTCTTTTGCTCCTTGTTGCCCATTTCTATCACGCCTGCCTCCTTGTCTATGATTCCCACCTGCTTTACGACCAATGATGCGCTACACATGAATTCCTCTCATCTCAAGTCAACTCCCCATGCCACATCATATGGTAACTTGATTAACGTCAATGCTCCACGACCACCCTACATCGACAATGCAATTTCTCATCTACTACAGACTCGATAGACATCTAGCTTCACAAATATCAACCTCAACTAGACAAAGCCAATCTCTACTTCACTCATTTCCAAAGCCACCTGTACTCAGCCGTGTCTAACTCCCTCACATAAACGACTACCGTCACTAAATTAGAAACTTTCTTTAGTCAATTACATGCTAGGCAACAGCTTTTACCAGATTCACTCCAAAGAGCACCATCCTGCTTCTTCCTATCATCCGCCACCACCTGCTGGCGCCCTTCCTGGCTCTGCATAAGCGGTTCCCCGTTCTCCCGAGCCTCCTTCCCATCCTGATTTTTGCCGTCGCCGCTTGCGCCATCGCTTTTTGCATCCCCCTGGCTACCACTTTGTCCATCCTGAGATCCTAATGCTGAACTTCCTCGCCCACTACGCACGATGCCACCCCCTGTCTCTACATAGCGCAACTTGCCGGATGTACCATTCCCGCTGCCACCTGCATCGTGAAATTAAAAGGTTACGCGGTGCCAAGGGACCTTCCCAGCAACAAACTCAAACACTCGAAAAAAAAATGGAACAGCCGAACACCAATAGTTTATCAGAAAAGAACAAGGACAGGCACCCGCTCAGACATAAACTTTGACTGATATCATTGACAAACAATCCATTCGCCATGTGTGCACAATCGGCAATTCTCTGCTATCTAATCTCTCACCTGATGTTTGATGGGAGACTGAACTGCGCACTTCGGATCCTGATTTCCCGTTCTGCCGCCCGCTTGATCGCTCCGTTCTATCATTCTTAAAACCCACGTCCGTCCCAGACTGGGCAGTCGGCGGTGCACCGTCTGTTGATGAACCACCAGATGCAGAGGTCACGCCATTTGTAGACGCTGCACCATCAGCCTTGCCCGTCACACCTTCGCGACGACGAGGGGTCCACACAGGCCTGTCAGGCCTGTCCTTGTTCCTCAACCGTCTCGCGTCCTGCTTTTCTGATGACGATGGCGTCACCGCAACTCCATCACTCCCAACATGCTTCACAGACCACTCCTCTCCGTTGCCTCCTTGACCCTCCGCCTCCGCAGACGACAACAAAGAAACAGCCTGGTCTTTTCCAGCCAACCGTATCGCCTGAGGACGTGGAGGTCGCTTTCCAACTCTTTCCACCTGCGTGCCGCTCGCATGAGATTGTGCTTGATGATCCGAACCTGCCCCTGGTGATGAACTGCCTTGCGGTAAGGAACCACGCGGAGAGATCCTCCCTCCAGACTCTTGTCTATGGTTCTGCTTACCGGAGGAACCGGACTTTCCAGGAGATGTTGCACGGTACGCGGTGACCGACTGCGCCTGCTGCACAGCTCCTGCTGCCACTTTTGTAGACCCAGACGACCGATGACGCTGATTATTCCCTGACACACCATTCGCAGCCGGAGCCGCTTGCCCAGACTCCTGATCACATTATACAACAGACACAGAATCTCATGAACCGCCATCCAGTGTGATCTCTGAAATGTACTCTCCATTTTCGTTAAATCGATCCCAGATGCCCAAAAGCATCTAGGAACCTCAAAATGCTAAATGCCCTTAAACAACCGAGTGAATGATGCATGACCCACTCGTCCTCTGACTTTACTACACAAGTATCAAACAAACAACATAGCCTTCGATGTTCCGTTTATACTCACAACTGCCGGTTCTTTGTCCTTTTCCCTAGCAATCAGCAATTGTTTCCGTTTGTACTCCCGCTTGTGGCCTTCCCTAGAGTCTGCTACCGTTGTATTCTCGCCCGACCCGTTCACAGCGGAAACCTTGCCAGCTGTATGTGTCCTTGATCCAGATTCCCCACTACCCGACAAGATTCGCAGAGGTCTCCCCTCTGCAAGTCCAAAACCATGCAGACTATTACGAACAACCTCTTCCCTCATACTGCTCATAAGCCATAAACTATATACATTGGCATGGGAATGAATTACAGCAATTCCTCCCAAGACCAGCGACAAGGTGCTAGTCCAAATATGCTCAGATGACCTACAAGAACCATCATACTCTCACATTCAACCACGATCGTAAATCAAGGCAGTCCAAGTCGAGCACAGATTCAGGGCATAATGCCACTTCAACATGCGCGTACCAGATGATGCCTCGGATAAGTCCTTGTTCAAAAGGATTGACTTCTCCTTACTAGCTTCGCCCCGGTGACTACCAGAATTTGCTCTGATAGCAGCTGCAACGGCCTCACGCACCGACTTCTTCTCTTTCCCTTCACCTGCTTCTTTCCTCTTTCGTTCAATCAAAGTCTCTCTTTCTTTCCGCTGTAGCTCATCTCGAGGAGCAGGCCCGTGACTAGCAGACTCCTTACTGGTCGACGCATTGTCACTCGCGTACTGCGAACATGAAAATCTCATCACAACACATACACGCAACTCGCTTCTATCTCCACAACATCAGAGGCTCGAATAGACACAGCACGCCATTCAACAACAAGGCATCATGATGAGAATATGACCCTTTCGCTACAAAATATATGCACACCAAATAACAAGCTGACCTCCAACACTCCTTGCAGAGAGCACCATGCACCACTTACCGAACTCGACCCAGACCGGCCTTTCTCAGAAGAGCGCTTCTGCGAAGCAAGACTATATGCACTGGCTGATACACCTGCAGAACGAGCAGCCAACTTCGCGCTTGATGCCATCCCCCTCTATCAATCCAAGCGCAATGCATCAGTCTTGAGTCGAACCGACACAAACATATTTACCTTTAGTAGCTTATCGGCCTAATCATACAAAGACCACCGCAAAGGAACAACGCCCACTGAACATCAAGACAGCAGATCCGGCATTTCATTACAAACACTGTTCACTCCCTGTATTTCTTTTTGCCACGAACGTTCAACTAACCTTCCAGATCCCCCATGGCCATGCCAAACAGGCTAACAGAAGACGGCAATATTACCTGAGGTATAGATTTTGCAGCTCTGCGCGATCGCACAAACTCCATCAAAGGGGTCACTACTACGGCATCCTTACTCGTACCAGAAACTGCAAACAGACAGAAAAGCAGAAAATCAGCACCCTCGCACCAATACCAGCTGAGGGACTCCCAGAGAGCTTATCGTCCTCTCCCAACCAAACCAAACCAAGCTTATCCTCCTCCAGAGTTCAGACTAAATCCACAACTGCAAATCTAGAGTAGCTCGGATAAACGAGACGGAATACTGAAGCATGGCCATCACAAAGTTTCCCTAACAGCACTAGGCCACTGATTTTAACTAGTAATCCTCGACACAGCTAACAAAACTACGAGAAAGTGCCCTTGGCTGCTTTACCCAAGGAGGCAGCCTTTTCAGCCTCTCTGCGCTCAAGTTGAATCTCAGCACTCGGCAAATACTCCGCTGGTTTAGCGAGCTGCTCCACGAAAGCCAAATACTCTGGATCTGCACAACCAGGACAGAGCCCTATTAGGATACTACTACAGCTCCTATTCCCCACCTCACTGTAATGATTCAGATTCTCGAGTCGGAATGCTTCCTGGGGCACAGAGAAATCAAACGGCTCTGTCGGGATCGTGGGGGCATTAATTAGTACAGTCGTAATAACAATCATTGTCGCACCTTTAAATATGGTCCCTTCCCGGACATCCTTCTTCGATCGAGGTTTGGGAACACGCTGATAAGGAGCATACTCGACCAAGGCCTTGTACTGAGCCCCTGTTCATTCGCAAGTATAGCCAATCAGCCACAGACAAGACCACCACGAACACACTCCAGGCATCTAGCATACCACACTCCTCTAATCTCTCAGTTCTTGATGAATCTCCAAGCATTAAAAACCGCGACACAAGCGTATAATCGCATCCACTTTCCACCTCCAACTTGTGATGGCCAACACAGAAAAAATGGAAAATCCCTTCATTCCAGTGTTTACAAAAATCCATCACTGCACGGACAACCACGTATTCAAGCCAGAGTGAGACTAACACACCTCTTTCGTTCACAAACACATGTCCATTAAAGTCTTCGTAGAAGTCGATTACATCCTCCGGCTTCTTGAAATTGATATACGCACGCGAATATACCTGGCGCTTGTGGCTGCAAGCAATAGCACCCACAGCATCCTACCCCGGTCAGCAATATTCACTTTAATAACCCATTCAGAAAAATTTGTTTATCTCGAGGACGGCAGGAAGTAGAACCTGCGGAATCGCGAAACCAATACAACTAGAAACTTTCGAATAAAAAAACGCAACGTTCACGAATTTCCCCACCTAGGATTACAATGATTTCGAGGGAATGGACCTCAGGCGGCGGGACAGAGCTCATGAAGAAAAAACAAAGAGAACACAACCTCTAGCCTGAAAATAAACTCTGCACAGCTAATCACTGCCCGCTTCATCTGCAAAAGACTACGGGGAGATACACGCACCAGAAAGTCAACAATCGAGTCTTTTCAAGGGAACCATCGTAGGCATGAAGAAATCTAACCTATACCCTTAAGGGACTGTGCAGGATTCGATGCTGCGAGTACTAACTACACCGAAACGGTCCGTCCAAGTCCCATCCACGCGAAGACAAAGCACGACTCTCTAAAAGAGAACACTATTTACTCACAAATTGGTTGCGCGGATTATGTGCTACATACTGTCGCCTTTTTCTGCTCGACCTGCACAAAACCACAACCCTGGTGGTATCCGCTAATTCTCTACGAAAAAACGTCCGTCACAAACGCCACGCGAACTGACAGACCATTTCTGCCCTGATCTCTGCCCGAATTCAATGAGGGCAGGATGCAATACAGAGTAAACACATCGCTTCGAACTGCTACGGACACACACGCGGGACACACAAGACTCCTCATACACAACACAGCACATTGGCCAATGCTGCATCCCACCTGTTCTTCCCCGGATGATAAGACCACCAAGTATACGCCCCTGCATACTTCCCCGCAATCTGGTCCTGAAACACGGCCTCACTCAAGCTCGGCGGCAGATGGCGCACGGCCACCTTGGTGCGAGCCTGTTGCTCCTTCATGGCCGTCTCCAAGCTTCGACGCCGCGCGTTGCTGGCCCCTTGCTGCTGCCACTCTTGCTGAGCCATCCGCACCATGTTGCAACTTCCTCCATGAGGGTTTCCAAAACCCTAAAAGATCCCACAATCACTCGCTCCCCCTTCAAATTCCCCTCCTCCGCTCCTCCTGCACCACAACGCTCCCGTCCTCACTCCACATTTCCAATCACCCCCTTCTAGCACCCCATCGTCCCCGACCTCCTCCCTCTCTCGTCGATGAATGCCGCACTGCTTGTCTCCCTCTGTCCCTCCCTCCCGCACACTCCCTTTCTCTCTGTGCTCTCCCTTCCCCTTCCCTTTCCCCTGCCCTCCTCCTGCCCTCCTCCTGCCCTCCTCCTGCCCTCCTCCTGTCCTGCCCTGCCCTCCCCTGCTTAGCTGCGATGCTATACTATGCTATGCTATCCCACCACAAGCTCTGCCCCACCCTCCCCGCTCTACCGCATGCAACGCGTCCTCTTCGTTTGCTATGTATTCTTCGGGAGAAGCTCAATATTTACACTCTGACCTCCTGCCTTTTACTTTCATGGTTAAAAAGGCAACGCCAAGAGCCGAGGGCGGCTTCCGATCATCCATCCATCTCGTGTTGCTTTATTCGTTCGTAAATTGGATGAAAACGATGCGGCTGCTTCAGCTCCACCTCCTGAGTGGGCTCTGCTGCCTCTGCTGCTCTCACAGCATTGGCCTGCTCTGTGTCCACCGCCTCTCTCATGAGTCTGTTCCAGAGCCTGTTCACACCGCCTTTATGTTATCACTTGGATGGGATGGCCTTTCCGCACCGCCTCCGTTACCTGCTTCTCCTTTTTGTTCTTGATTCCTCCAATTTTCAACTTTCTTTCTCTGTTTTTTTCTTTTCCATATTTTTAGCCTCTCGAAACTTGGGTGGTTTTCTCAATTGTTAGCATAGTATTATTTAACTTCAAGAGACAAGTTTTAGTCTGTTTGGATGTGTGTGTGGAAACAAGACATGAAGTTAAATGGATCTTTGAAAATAAAATCCAGAAGATTAACCAGCGTTGTAAAGATGGTCAATTAATACTATCTAATTCTAATGAAGAGAATTTTGTCCAAAAGCACATGTTTTTGCAACATCATATATATATATATAGAGAGAGAGAGAGAGAGAGAGAATCTATTTCTCTTTCTTTACACACACCTCAAAAAAAAGTATTAAAAATACTATAAAAAAGTATTAAAATATATTGAAATGTATAAATTTAGTACCAAACAATCAAACTGTTGGCAACAAATTCTATGATAAACTAGTTTCTGACATAATTATAACATAATAATTTATTATATTTTTTTTGTTCTTTTATTGTTATTTTTAATGTATTTACATATTTTTTAAGTGATATACATTCATCAAAACTGGATCAAAATGTGTATCACTAACTAATAAATGATTTTGTTGTCATACAAACTTTTTATAAAAATATAAATACAAGTACAAATGCATTGTTATGGTCTCAATCTAGTGTCAACCTCCATTATTCTTACAAAAAATCAAGCATTTAGTTCAAGACTGTCATATCATGTGTGTTACATTAGATATTATAGGTGTGTGGTTACACTTTATTTTGAGAAACTTCAACTTCTGCTTCACAATGTTCTTTTCTTATGTTGGAGTGTACACAGATAATTTTTTTTACTGTGTTTTAATCTATTGCAGGTTTTATATTTTTACAAAAAATAAAAATAAAAATAAATTCAAGTTGTGATGTTAAGCATGTCCAATTTTTAACAATTACAATTGTTTAATGGTTACTTAATTTGTATACTTTGACATAAAAATTAAGTGGAAGATTGAAAGATCAGCTCTAATTGAGTTCTGTGATGATAATAAATATAAACTTCAAGTTTAATATTTTAACTTTACATGATTAAAATCTATTACATACAACAGTTTGGGTATGAGACGAAGAAGCCTTTTCAGTGGCTGGGAAGAAGGGAAAGTGAGGAATGCAAGGAATGTGGGAGCACATGAATACATGGTTTTCAGAGGCCCCATAGTCCAGAAGAGATTGCTCCTAGAAGCTTTTACAGCTTTTCCATGCCTAACTACATGAGTTTCCACTAGTATGTAGTAATTATGCTTGTTGATTCCCCATACAAGTGATCCTTTTGGCGCTTCTGTTTTTCTTTTTTACTAAAATACTTGAATATTTAGTGTATTCAAGGTATGATTTGTTTTCTGTGGTTTGCCAGTTTTCCAACGTGGGGGTTTTTTTAGTTTATATATATATGTATATATATATATATATATGTATATATATATATATGTATATATATACGTATATTTCAGTTATTTACATGTATTGTGATGATATGCTGTGCTTTTTCATGAAAATTGCATCAATTTGTAGATGTATTGATGATTGCTAAAAAACATTTTATCAATCATAGTTTTATTTCTTATTTGAAACTAAAACAAACTCAAAGATTAAATGTACAAAAAGTTGTATCCTGTTGTGATTTTTTGTACAAATTCAATAGTAGAATGTTACTTTTAAATAGATTAATTGATTATAATTTTTTAACATATTGCTTTTTGTTTTGTAGTAGTATGTAGGGGAGTAAGTAAATGTGTATATATATATATATATATATATATACATTCTTATTTATTTACACATGTGCACATATCTAACTGAAAAAAAAAGAATGGTTTAAATTAGACCTTGTTAATAATTGGAATGCCATGAATTTGTTTTAAATTTTCACCACACATTATGAAAAAGTAATACACATATATATTACCAAAAATTAATTTAAAATCAAATAAGGAGTAAATTCTATATTTCTATCGAAAAAAATTGTATATTTAAAAAAATTCTACGCACAAAGAACAATACTTTTTTTTCTGAAGTGCAAACCTCTCCAATTTCAAACCAACAAACATCAGTCCTTGAGAAGTTTTAAATCCAACCCTGACGAGCCTTAAGTTGCAACATACATTATCCCGGAGGGGTTGTTTAATTTCCTAACTTGTTTAATGGCCTCGATATTCTGGGCTAATTTACGATCCACATTTAAAGAGGGAGGACCATAGAACACCCTCAATGCTTGCCCCGCCAAATGGCATCTCTGCTTTGCGCGTTCCTGAGCCAATAGGAATTACCTATACAGATCAGAACGTTTTCTTCAACGTCAGCTTTCATCAAGTTGCCTCGTCACAAAGCCCTAAGTCGTTGAAACTCGAGGATCTCTCGGTGTGGGACGTGAGGTCATGTCGATGAAAACTTCGTCGACGTGAAGATTTAGCGGAACAGCGCCCAAGGCCTTGGGTTCCCGTTTCCGAATTCGCTCTCTGTCTCTTCCTCGGGTTTTAGAGGGAGTCGCCAGAGCTGTGACTCGGAGTTGGATGCATGCAGGCAGTCCGGGGCTGCCACGAAGGAGACGAGGTGAATGTTTGGTAATGATAAGTTAAGATGCCGGGGGATAGGAATCTTTAGACCACCATAACTACGAACACAGAGACGAGGATTTGGCTAGTTGTATAGAACCATGGCTCTGCAGCCGCGACTCTCGCTTAGCTGTCTCCGCGGGCGATCGGTGGATGCATGCGCTTTTGCAGTCCCTGCGTCTGCTTCGATTAGTGCTTCGTCGGATGCATGCGTTCGAATTCCCTGCTGGAATGGAGCTTCGTCCAGTTCGAAACGTCTTCCGTTCTTCGGAGCCAGGGTTGCTTCTGCATCTGGTTGGTTTTGCAGCTCTGCGTGGCTCTTCCGTTTAAGAAATTTGGAGGATGCATTTAATTGTGAAATCAGGGCCATTAACTTGTACCTACGTTCTTTTCAACTTCTGCTCTCGTATCATTCGAATCGTTGTGAATCGTGGGTCGAGTGATTTTATTTTCTTTGTTGAAACGTCTGTAAGTAGGTTCACAATTTTCAGTGTTCAATACTCGGATGTTGTGTGCTGCGTTTTTTAAGAACATGTTGAATGTAGGAATGGGAGTGAAAAGTCTGAGAACAACTGTCATTAATGTCGGAATGGTATCGTGTTCTGCTTAATTCAAAATTATGCAATGCGCACTCTTACGTTTACTTTGTTCTGTGAACCGGTGCTGCATCGGGTAGCGACGAAACTATTCAATCTAATTATGTATCTAACGATTGGCAGCATTTGCCATTTTCTCTCTAGCTTAAAGAAACATGCACAACAATTGAACTCTCCTTTGAACTTAATGTAGTAGGCTTATCAAAATGACACCTGTGACATGCGTCGTAATTTCTGTCATGTACTTCTCGTGCCTCACGTGAATCTGTCTTGACCATTTCTTATTTTGATATTGGATTCTTGGTAAACTTCAACTGTTCTTAGTCTGTTAATATCTGATATGTAAGTGCAGTTGTCTTGGTGTTAGTGTTTTTACAGAACCGCCTTGGCACTTGGAGATGTTTTGCGTTTTAGACTGTTCCTACTTAGTCTTGTTCAAGTTGCACATGTTCTCTCTCATTCTGCTCGACCTTGTTACGCAGGAAAAGTCCTGATTTTTAATGAAGAAATTTGGAATCATGTTTTTGAGTTCTTGATTCTTATATCATGTGCAGATCCAAAGAGCCCGAATTGGAGGAAGAGAGTCTCCGGTGTGGTACAAGTGCATTTAGAAGAGTATGACTTCGATGATCAATCGAAAGGTAAAAGTTATTGAATAAAATTCGGAGTTGCAGGTTTTCTCGAGTGGCCGGCAATGTGTTGAAAAGGGACAAAGAAGCAACTGCGTCTTGATTCTGTAGATGCAAGTTGAACCTAACATGTCTGAGAAAAATTACCAGGGCGGAAAGTTTGAGAATTATTAGCTCGTTGCTGCTGACTTCCATCTATTGCTGTGAATGCGTAGATTATCAACCAAGTGTGGACTTCTACAAAGTCGAAGCAGTATTAAGGTCTCATCTTAGACTAACCAATTTCTTTGCGATTTGTCTATCTTTTTAGCATTTCACAGATTTTAAGATATTTCTTAAGTGAGTTAATGAACGTAAACTGGGATAAGTGATTCATGATATAACTTCTTTATTTCGATTGTAGTAGATTTATCACGAAGATTGAGGACCTTACTGTATTTGTTTTATGTCGAAATAGTTGAGGTTAATAAATTCGTAGTTATGGCCATTTAGATTGCACTAAGCATTATGAATCAATGTCTACATCTGCACTAATGTCACAGATGAGACTTAAAACCATTTCTTTGTGTATCTGCGCATATACACGTGTGGCTGTTATCTTACTTCGGGTAAACATATTGAAGACCTTGGCGGCTTTCTCCTGTTTCATCTGTATGCGCCGTACACCTTCAAATCTTTTTTTCCCGAATGTCTCATTAGCTCCTTAGCAGAAACTTAACCTTCACACATTTAAGTGTAGATTAAGTATAGTATTGCATGTGCTGCTTTTCAAATAACATGTGCAATAGACAGTATGATGGCAAGTTTAGTAATGGACTGATGTGGTCACCTCGAACCCTGCATCTTGTAGATTTGATGCGACAATATTTAAATTCCTGCATAATGTTCTAGATCACAGCGAGCTAAACTAGTTGTACTTCGACGTTGACGAAGTAAATTTTTGCTGACTGTTATTATTTGTCTGCAGGCCCTTTTAAAAATGGGAATTAGAGGTGTCACGGTAACAGACGTACGAGGATTTGGAGCTCAGGGCGGATCCCGCGAGCGACAAGCTGGTAATGTCTTGTTCCTTCAGTACTTGAGGGATTCTGATTTTGGAGAGTTTCACCTATGTGATCCCTTATTGTCTCATGTCTGCTGATATACAACTGTGTGCATTTGAGAGCTATCTTATATCACCCTCATATCTTTTTAATTTCCTAACGATCGAATAGTTAGTGCTTAAAGAGCCGTGTTGCCTTTTGTATTTTTAGGCACAGAATATGCCGGTGACAGTTACCTCAAAAAAGTTAAGCTAGAAATCGTCGTATCGAAAGACCAGGTATTTTTTCTGTGTAAGTTATTTCACTTAATAGGTATTCGGCATGTTCTTTAAATGGCGGGGTCATGAACACTACATTTGATGTTAATGATGGTCTACATGACTGAAATCAATACCACCGTATCTTACATAGGTGGAGGCGGTAATTGATACAATAATCGACCAAGCCAGAACTGGTGAAATAGGAGATGGCAAAATATTTGGTACGTAAGGCTGCACTATTTTGACGTTCATTTTTGTATAGAATAAGCTCATTCTTGTTCTTGCAGGCTATTTGAGATTTATCTCAGTTGCCTCGCAACATTCTTAAGCAGTTACAAGGCCCCACTTTAGCTTCTAGCGTGTGATATGTGGCATTCTTATGAAGCTTCACAAAGCTCGGAAGAGTTTGCGGAGATTAATCGAGTTTGAAGAAATGGAATCCAAATAATCTCTGTTTATCGATAATTTTGTGAAGGGTCAGAAATAAAGGATGCTCAAGAGAGCCATGTTTATGACTAACCCTTTCCATAGATGAAGTGGGTTCGTGTTCATCTAATCCGTATTGGAAGTATACCTTTCCCTCACCTATGTCAGCTCTGCCTTCTCTTTGATTGTGACAGTGTCGCCTGTATCGGACATTATACGTATTCGGACAGGTACGTGTCAGAACTCTTGTCACTTCCTTTTCGCATTTCCTTGGTATCGTTTGCCTTGGATAACTTAGGTCTAGACTGATTGATGAAGTAATTGTTGACCTCATAAAGATCAAGTGATGGTTGTTATCACCAATACTCATTATCTGCGCGTGTCGGTCGTGGGATAATTTTGAGCAGGAGAGCGAGGGCTGAAGGCTGAGAGAATGGCTGGCGGACGTGCTGCAATGCAAACCTCGGCTGAAGGTTCAGATGGTAACTAATGACAGTTCAGATATTGAATTCAGTATTCCCCGCATACTTGGAATATAGGTCATGGTAGAAGTACAGTCGGTTTTAAATGAAGAGAACTGTAGCGCTGTAAATCATGTGCATTGCAACAAGCTATCCAAGTTTCGGCATTATGTGTACAACCTAAGTGTAACATTCGCGGAATCAAACCTCGGGGTTTTCATTAGTGCGTATAAGATTCACTGTCCTGGTATTTATTGTCCATGTCATGTGCCACAGTATGTATTTGCTTAACGTTCCTTAATCATGAATTCCACGGTTTTACTTCAGAGATAACCCGCTTAGATTTGGGATCAAATGCGATGATTTTTAAAGAAGGGAATTGTTTTCCAGTACGTATGCAAAACCTAATGCAACTTTATGATTCAATTCTTCAATTCCTCGTCCAGAAGACGAGCAGTTCTCACAGGCCAGATACATTCCTTCCAATGACCTTCGCATTACAAAGCTACACTACATGACAATATGTAGCAATAAATCGTGGTGTTACACTTTTGAGACAGAATCAGGTCCGAACAGATTATAAAGTATTAGGAGGGAGCTATTTCTGTACAAGTGAGATCTCGCACAATCAAACATGCGAAGCTTGACGTATCTACAATCTGCAAATCAATCAAGCGTGCATTTTAGAATGCTTGCCATCATCGAATTGTGCATTCTTAGCAGCCTTGAATGTCTCCAAGAAAGCCTTGGCAGCTTCCAACTCCATCTTCTTCTTGTGACGGTCCCACCCATGTTCCGCTGCTAGGATTTCAATCACTCGAGGCAGCGCGCGTGTTGCAGCGTTGGTGTCGAGAAACGCAAGCCGCGCACGCCTTGAAATGAAATCGACAACAGACTCACAATACTCATGGCGAGCACAGTACGCTACCTCAGCTTCTAAGTAGGGGTAACCGTGCGCCAGCCGCTTGCCTAGCCCTTCAGCCTGAGCTATGTGTGCCACCCGTGCAGCCAAGCCCCCATAGGAGTCTACGAGATGCTTGGCAGCAGCAGAGTCCATAGCTCCAGGTACAATCTTACCACCGTAGCTTCTCTTCATACGCAAATAAGTTTGAGAAAGCACAGTAAAGGAGGCAGGATCCCATCCGTATGCACCCATCAATGGTAATTGGTGAGTCAAACAGTCTTGACCAGGTCGTAGTGATCCGCTTTTGATGGCAGCGTTCACAGCATCCTCTGCCATGCTTCTGTAAGTTGTCCATTTGCCACCAGTGACGGTGACCAAGCCATCGGGGTCCACGCAGACGACATGGTCCCGGGATATGGAAGCTGTGTCGGTGTCTTTGACATTTGGGTCTGTAGCCAAGGGGCGGATTCCACTCCACGCCGACATGACATCTGACCTCCGAACCTTCACTGTGAGGTAGTCGCTGATGGCGTCCAAGATGAACTGTATTTCTTCTTCATGTGGCTCGGGGCTCATTGTCAAAGTAGCAGCAGAGTCAGTAGTGCCAGCCACTGTGCGACCAAGCCAAGGCAGCATGAATACCACTCGGCCGTCTTTTGTCTTGGGCACAATCAGCCCCATGTTGTCGGGGGAGTAATAATCAGGAAGTACAATGTGAACCCCGCTGGACGGAGATATAATGTGTGAAGCTTTGCCATCAGCTAGCCCTCTCACTTCGTCACAAAAGGGGCCTGCTGCATTGACGACGACGTTGGCATAAACGTCGAACTCCTTGTTGGTTAGGTTGTTCCGAATCCGGGCACCTATGATTTTCCCCGACTTGGGGTCTTTTTTAAGGCTAACTGCCTCGGCATGGTTCATCATGGCCGCACCCGCCAACGCTGCAGTGCACGCAATTGCTACATTCAAACGAGAGTCGTTCATCTGGCCATCGTAATACACCACCGTCCCCTTGAGTGTCTTGTTGTGGCTGTTCTGGAGAGCAAGCGTTGGGAAAGCCTCCATCGATTCTTGCTTAGAAAAGTAACGAGAGAGGTGAAGCATCCGACGCCCAGCTACCAGATCGTACGCCTTAAGGCCAACCCAATAATAAGGAAGCTCCCACCATTCATAGCAGGGGGTCATGGTTGGTAATGGTTTGCAGAGATGGGGCGCATTTTGTAAAATCTGCGCCCGTTCTTCCAGAGCATGGAACACGAGCTTCAGCTGTCCATAATCCAGTTTCCAGAACGCCTTCTCCAAATACCGAACTCCTCCGTGCACGAGCTTAGTGGACCTTGACGATGTCCCAGCGGCAAAGTCGTCACGCTCTACCAATCCAACTCGCAAACCTCGAGTAACTGCATCCAACGCCACTCCACAACCTGTGGCACCACCTCCAATTACGAGTATATCCAATGGATTGGCCGCAGTACAACCGCGCAAACTCGCCTCCTGCACACTCCGATGAGGAGCTTTCCAGTCGGCCGCCTCCATTCGCTGGACCACCGCGGCAGCCGCCTCGCTCCGTGGCACCACTGCATCGCTGCTGCTAACCTGCGATCCTGCCCATGCGACCGTGGCTACGGCAGTTGTAGCCAGGGCTGCGCTAATGGCCCCCTTCCTAAAACGCGCTAACCCGGCCATGCTGCTCTATTCCCTCTTCTCAACTTCCAGCACCGACGCAGCCGCAATCAGATACTCATGTTGGATGCAAGTATCAGATAACCACTTCAGTAATCTCTTGAACCAGACCTAAAAACGGTAACACGTTCTTAGCAATTCAAAACACAAAAGGAAAATCAGTGTTAAACTCAGTGTTGTGAGCTACTTACTCCCTTACACACTTCTTTGCAACAGCAACAGAAATTAAAAGCCTTGGTCAGGAAACCTCGGAACAATTGGTTAGTTAGAAGATTCTAAGGCATATTCATCGTCACAAGTGTACGAATTGCGCATCAAATCAAACTCAAGCATAATGCAATGTAGAAGTTTTGTGATCAGCTCATTCCAATATAAAGAATCAGCAATTAAGACAAAGGCGATAGGCGGCAGCTCAACGACGGAACCCAACTGAACCCACACTGCTCCAACAATACAAAGGTTCCACTTAATTACTTGTTGCATATCTTCTACAGATCCATCCCATCGCAATCCAACTACTCCCACACCGCGCCCAATTGGAAGCACCACCAAACTGAAAACAGCGTACGATGCATGCAAGCCACCACATCCTACCACGTAAAACTCATGCTTAAAAAACCAAAAAAGAAAACAAAAACAAAAACAGAGGAACGCAGCGAGAGGCTCAAGCTCGGACACGTGCCCTGTGAACAACCCAAGCAATTAAGAAGCCAAACCAAATACCTTGGATTCCCATCTCGACCAAGACAGAAAACCCACGACGACGCTCGAGTCTTGCAGCAGCAGCAGCACGCAGCAGCAGGATTGGGAGGAAGAAGAAGAAAAAACCAAAAAACAAAACAAAACAAAACAATAAACAAAAAGCAAAACAAAAGGAAATGCGGAAACGGGATCAAAGGAAAGACGGACGAGCAGAGACAAACCTTGAGGAACAGCAGGGGCCGGAGTTCAACGCAGCAGCTGATGCAAGTCGGCAGCGTTGAGCAAAGCTGCCCACAAATTTCATCTCCGAACAACCACCCTCCCTCCCGTCGCCTTTTATAAACTGCAAACTTCCCAACTCATGTGGCGGAGTGAGTCCCGCATCCGTAGCGCTCACGTGCACGCCCCAGCACAGAGAAAGTATTTCCGCATCGCAAGGATAAAGAAAGGGCGCATCGGCTATAGCACTATCTTTCGTAGCGGCACCGCACAAGGGATGGCCCGATCGCCGATAACCATGCCTTCTCAACTGCACGGACCACCCCTGCTGCGACTCATGTCCATATCCTCGACCTGTGTGTTTATATCTACATATATATTAAACAGAGAGAGAGAGAAAAAAAAAAAAAAAAAAAAAAAAAAAACGAGTGTGAAATTCAAAGTGGGTGCGGACGCAAAATGGCAACAATCAAGTCCCTTCTTCTGAGCATCGAAAGAAGCGGTCGATTCGAGGAGACACAGCTCCGATTCTAGAATGCCATTCCACGAGACCGAATGCCAGCGTAGCAGCAACAACAGCAAAGCAAACATCGAACGTGACAGATGCGCTCTCTCGTGCGTGTGGTTGTGTCCGCTGTGCGGCGTCCATCGGACGGTGACTCCATCCCCTGTGGTCGGGGAGAGGAGGCTCTTGCGGGTTTTGGGTGGGCCGGTCTTTTGGTCGCCTTGGAAAGGGGGTCTGGCGTTCATTATGTGAATCCAAGTGGACCGGTTGAATCCAATCAATAGCAATTTTTTATTATATTTATAATAAAAAGTGCGTGTGATTGTATGTGTTTGCCTCTTGATACGTGGGTTTACTTAAGATTTAAAGACTATATCAAATAAATTCGAATTCACACTTTTTAATGCATACTTCTCTCTCTTTTTTGTTTTTTGTTTTGTTTTGTTTTGTTTTTTTTTTTTTTTTTTCATTCACTCAAACACTAAAAATTAAAATAAAATAAAATAAACTATGCTGAGTGCTTATTTTTTTAATCATTCAAGAGATTCCAGTTTGCCATTCATATTTAGATAGTTGATGAAACCTTCTTAATTAATATTAGCATTTATAAGTAATTTGGTAATGTTTATTAATTGGATTATGGTGTGATATCTTGAGAATTATTGGTGTTGAAAAGTTTCGAACACCTTGCAAACATGGTGTTTGAATACCATTTACTACAGTACTATTTTCAAGAAAATCAATAGATATAAAATTTGGTAATGTATATAATTACAAATTTCCCTATGCTATTTATAGGTAACAAATTCTGAAGACACAAATAGAATTGATTTATTCAATGTAAAAGAATGATTTATTCAATTTCGGATTTCTTACTTGTATAATTGAATGTTTTTTATTTTGAAATATTTGATCCAAGCACATAAAATATATATTTTTTAAATTCCAAAAGATTTTTTTTCTTTTTTTCTTAAAAAAACATGCTTTTTAAATTAAATAAATTATCCTAGTTTTATATGTTATCATTCACAATATTTAATTCAAAAGTGTTTCAACAAAAAAAATGATAATGCCTGTTTAGTTTCATTATTATTTGTAAAATACATGGTTTTTCAATTTCACTTATTCTGTTCTTCCGTTAATCTATAAGTTCAAACCTTGAATATGCCATCGTCACTATTCTCACTGAATGTCATATCTTTTTAGTTAAAAACTATGGTAGTAAAGATATGAGAGGGTTTTAAAACAAGAATTTCTTTTCTTTTCTTTTCGGAAAAAAAAAACAGTTTGTAACTTGGAACTTCCAATCTTATACCCTTCCACAATATACCCTCCAATAGTATACCCGCCCTTTCGATACCCTCACGGGTATAAGAAAGCATTTTCAATAACCGCGGAACACGGGTAGGGGCCTAATAGGGTTTCAGGGAGAAGCAATTCGCGAGGTTTAGGGTTTGGTTAAGTTGCAGGAACCTCGTCACAGTGGTCCTTTTTGCTGTCTCGCCATAGCCCGGAGTGCCTCACAAGCGCGAGTCTTCTTCCACAGCCCCGTCAACAATGGTGGCCGCCAAGAAAACCAAGAAGGCTCAGGAGTCGATCAACAACCGGCTGGCGCTGGTGATGAAGTCCGGGAAGTACACCCTGGGCTACACCACGACGCTGAAGTCTCTCCGGGGCGGCAAAGGCAAGCTTGTCATCATCGCCAACAATTGCCCTCCTCTCAGGAAGTCCGAGATTGAGTATTACGCCATGCTCTCCAAGACCGGTGTGCATCACTACAGTGGAAACAATGTAGATTTGGGCACGGCTTGCGGGAAATACTTTAGGGTTTGTACCTTGAGCATCACCGACCCCGGTGACTCTGATATTATCCGTTCCATGCCTACGGAGCAGTCGTAGGATTCTCGGGCTTATAGGACTTGGGGAGGCGGAATTGAAGCAGAGGAGGGTTTCGGTTGCAGTTGAGCTACGCCGTCGTTTGTTTGTTGGCTGGCTAAGGAAAGATTTTGGGCGGCCACGGTGTAGTTTTTCTCCTTATTGTTGGGTTCGTGTCTTTCGTACTTGGCCTGACACAAGTAGTGCTATGCTTCTCCGCAGTAGTGTTTGTAACATCCCAAGAATATGATTAAGGTCTGTCATGAGGCAATGAGCAGTTTCTTTTGCTTAGCGTGTCGTTTACTATGTTTGTGTGGATGGATCAGTTGAACTTCTCGAAATTATGTGAATGTTGGGGTTGAGTTGCTTAATGTATTCGTGTATGAGATTTAAATTCTAGTCACTTCGACACTATTTTGGTGCGGTGCGCATATTTCATGTTTCAGTGTGAGTTGGTCTGAGAAAGAATTCTGCTCTTAAACAACGCTTGTGGTGTGGGGTGTTTCTGCTGCGACCAAGCTATGTTTCGTCTTAGACCCTCGTAGACCTAAAGACGTGTTGTGCTCCGAGTCTATTACAACTTCTCTTTCATCCATGCAGAGGCTGATTCTCTGATTCAAACATATCACTTTCTAGTATAGTAATGGATCTTAGAACTCTTTTGCGCACATGAGAATGCATGCTTGAGTATTCCGCTTCTTTATCCTAATCGGAAACGTCCTAGAACCGTGGCTTTGCGTTCACACAGGCCAGGAGTAATGTCCTTGGATGAAACAGCCGTCCTCCCACCATTCCCTCCGTTTGGCAATCGTTTCAATCAACTTCACGTGTCATGGGATAGTCGCTGGCTGTCCATGTGATGAATCCCTTGGTACTAAATTTCAAGCACATTTCTTCCATGCTAGGGTTACTTGTGTTGCACAAGCAGTAAGTAGATGCAGTTAATCAGCCATGAGTGCGGTGTAACTTTGAGTCGAGGTTGCCGCGGCGCTCACTTCCTTTCAATTGCGCTTGTCTCCTTATTATTCTGCGTTTTGGTCTGCCCATTCCGGATGAGAAGCAAGTGTGACGGTGCAGCTTTCATCATTGTTGTTGAAGTTCACTGTGAGTACGGTCCTGCGCAAGATATTCTCACAGGATGTCTTTCCAACACCAGATTATGGATTCAAATACTGCTGTTATGCCCCTGCCGCTGTGGTTGGTGACGGGTGTACGTGTACAAACAAGCTAGCAAGAGTTTCATGTGGCCAATAATCACTGTGAGTGCTGATCGCATGGAAGGCCTAAGGGCCACTTAGGTCATAATGCAAAGCGCAACTCTCAACTGGCGGTAGATTGCTCTCTTGCATTCACATGCATGTGGCTCATGTATATATGTTTGTTTCTTTAATCAGTTATTTGTGTGTGTTAAACGGTTAAGAATGAGATGTCCGTGGATATCAATTGAAATCCTTCTAATTGTTCTCAGTACAGTTGACTCTCTTAATTCCTGGAGTTATGGAGCACATCAACTTAGAAAGCCAAAGCAATGTGAAGTCGTCCTATTTTATCAATCAGTTGCAACAGAAAATAGCTGAACTCGTGGGCTTCATGCTGTTTCATTGCAGGACATGGTCTTGAGTTCAGATGACAGCATGCATAGTTCATTGATTCATATCAAATCATTTCTAACGGATTCAAATGTATTCGTAGCCCCTGTTTCGTAAATGGGTACAGTGTCTTCCACTAACTAAGCAGTAGCTCTCGCTAATTGTCTTCACCAGCATGGAGTGTTGCTTCTTCAATAGAATATTACTGCGAGTTAAAATTGATAGTCAAGGCTGAAACAACGTAGGATGGGAGGCTGCTGTGCATTAAACTCAAGGTATCAGTGGTAATTTTCTCTGTTCATTCAGTGGTAATTCCACTTGTGAAATCCAATTGTGGAATTTTGCATGGAATTTCACAAGTGGAATGAACCAGCTGAGGGCATAAGAAGAGGATAATTTCTAGTGAAATAAGTCTTGGTAGAAGGTGACATGGCTAACGTCAAAGCTGCGTTGCAGATTGTAGAGGCTCTTCTTTGAGTACACAGACTGCTCTTAATGCTTATGCTACGATTTTCTTTTATTTATTTTTATCAATTTTGTATATATTTTATCAGAAATTTATAAAATTACAATATTTGACATTAATAACATATCATCTTTTGTAATAGATTTCTTGTACTCAACATGATGTAATAGATTTTTATTTATTTATTTATTTATTTTCTTTCTTTTCTTTTCTTTTTTCTTCCCATTCATTTTTTCATTGTAGTGCAAAATTTTGCTACTCTTGCTTCTCATTTGTTACACAAAATTACTCCTATTAATTCTTCCTCAAGCTGTATTATGCATGGAATTTCACAAGTGGAGGGAATTAGCTGAGGGCATATGAAAAAGATAATTTATAGTGAAGTTGAAATCTAACCTACACAAACTTCTTTACATAATGTGACAAAGATTTATAATATGCATTGAAAATCTCAAATGGAATGTGGCTTCTTGAATTGATTTAAAAGACAAATATGTACATTATCATAATGAGGATAAAATATATGTAAAAATAGATTTTTATATTGTATTAAATATAAAATAAAGATTGTTATTTATTTTTAAGTTTTTGATTTGTGAAACTTTAAAAAAAATTATTATCATTCTTATGATTTTTTTTTCTTATTGTACAATCATGTGGAATAAGTCTTTGTATCACACTTGATAGAGTCAATGTAGCTAATTGTCTTTGCAATGGTGCCCTCACATAACTAGAAAGAAGCAAGAGAAGAATTGAACAAGATGTTTTACGTCCTTCACAATGTAGCACATTGGAGTTATGAAAGAATTGCAAAGGCTTTGGAGATAGGAAAGACAAGAATTCAAGAAGTGATGAAGAGAGGGAATTCATGGAAGAAGGGTCTTGTTGAGGATGCTCTTTGCAAAGGTCTTCTACAAAAAAATTACAAGAATTGTAAAAAGAAGAGTAGAAGAGGTGACAGATGATGAACTTAGGTTATTTTTGCAAGAAATTATAAGAAAAGCACATGTTGGGCTTTCTTTTTCAAGCATTCATAAGATTGTTTTCACTAGTGGCTTTTGCTTGAAGGTGTTGCAATTGAAATTCTATTGGATGTTGGAACAAAAAGAAACATATAGAGAATTTATTCATAAATATAGTAAGTAGAATTTGAAGTAGTGGATTAAGATTTGTTTCATTCATAAGGCCACCATAGTCTATGCTCTACATCATGCAAGGAAGAGGGTCTGTATGTGTCAAGTTGAAGGACTGTACTAAAAAAATTTGAGACCTACTTTCAAGTCAACAAAGATAAATGTTGGGATTTTTGCATGCATTACAAAAAGAAGATATTGTTAGAGACATAGTCCTTAGAACCTTCTAGAGACAAGTTTCTAGAACCTTCTAGAAGCAAGTCTCTGGAACCTTCTAGAAGCTTCTTAGTTGGTAGAAGATATTAGGGACATAGTCCTTAGAACCTTCTAGAGACAAGTTTCTAGAACCTTCTAGAAACAAGTCTCTGGAACCTTTTAGAAGCTTCCTAGTTGATAGAAGTTGCTTGAAAAGCTTCCTAAATAGGAGTATATATTGGATTCGAGGCTGAAGAGTTCTTCAGTCTCGACAACACATCTCTTGGAGCTCTAGCTCACCTCTCTGGTATTGTTCTTGTATTCATCTGATTAATCTAGTTCTTGCCTGTTCTTCTTGAACTTCTTGTTAGATCTCGAGCCTGTATTTCTAAATCCGTGTACATTTGTTGAGACTTCACTCACCTCAAATATCAGAGCTAGTTTCTTCCTTGTTAGAGTGCGGATTACCCCTCTGCTTGGAAGTGTACTAGCATTTTAGAGGTTGTGGATTACCCTCCTCTAAATTGATACTTCTTTTGTTACAATATTGGAGTCTTATTCTTCTTGGAGAGAGTGGATTACCCTTTTTCTTGAAGCTCTTAAGGCATTTTAGAGGTTGCGGAGTACCCTCCTCTAAACCAATATTGTCTTCTTGTAGAGTCATTTCTGTCCTTCTCTTAGAATGGCCGAAGGCCAAGACATTAGTATGACAGAAAGTTCAGAGTCCAAATTAGATGCTATCATGAATGCCCTTGCTACGTTATCGCAAAGAACTGCAGAGATTAAAGGAGTCGTGGCAAGGCTTCATAATGATGGAGCATTTGGGATGGCACAATCTAGGTTGCACCAGCCTCAAACTTCTGCACTTGGAGAAGCAACTTTGGTTTAGGTTCGACAAGCACCGCTGGTTCTACAACATAAGGAGCTCCGAGTTTGATGGTACACATTCCAAGTTTCGAGGACTTGTCAATCAAATCAGATTGATAACAGTTTTACAGTCCGAACGCTATCCAACGGAGGAGTCACGTGTTGGGCTTGTTCGAACCTTACTTACAGGGCAAGCTCTATCATGGTTTGCTCCTTTGTTTGAGAAACAATCGTCCATACTAAACAACTTTGAAACCTTTTTGGAGGCGTTTGCGGAAGCATTTGGTGAACACGATAAGGTTCGATGGGCTACAACAAAGATTCGGTTACTACGACAAGGGATGCACTCTACATCAGTCTATACATCAGACTTCAGGCAATTAGTATGCGATATCAATTGGAACGAAGAAACATTGATGAGTTAATTCTATTGGGATTTAAGGTACAATGTGAAGGATTTGCTATTAACTCTTCCTGATCCGCAAACGCTCAATGAAGCTATTAGCCAAGCTGTGAAGTGCGATAATCGCCTATTCCAACGCCGCCAAGACCAACGTTCAAGACAACATATGATTCGCCACGCCCCAACTATGTCGGCAAGTAGCATAAATTCACATTCAGAGGTAGAAGACATGCAAATTGATGCAGTACATATCAAATCTCTTACTCTAGAAGATAAAAAGCAACGCATGGAGGAAGGTTTATCCTTGTATTGCGGTGAAGAAGGCCACAAAGTTGGAAACTGCTCTAAGAAGCAAAATCGATGTATTGTCAAGACTAGGGACACATTTGTTTAGAAAAACGAGGATGCCCAGCCACAATAGGAACCGTGCAGCTGGACAGTGAAATATTGCAACAACAACCAAGTTCCTTTCTTTCCGCTCAACCTGCCATTTGCTTTACAATCCCTTTGCTTATTGGCCCTCAGAAACTGAGAACCTTAGCATTATTAGATTCAAGAGCATCTGCTTGTATCTTAGATGAAGAATTTGTGAAGCGTCATAAAATCCCTTTAGTATAAAAATCCAAACCTGTTCACGTT